AGGGACTAGGAGGGCTTAAGGAGAGGGGCTGGGGGAGCGGGGCGGTTGGTGGAGTGGGCGGGAGCGCGGGGATAAGGCCGGGCTGTCGGAGGGGGGAAGAGGTCTGTCTGGTCATAGGTATTTGTGTTGGGAGGGTAAGGTTAGGGGGGCGCGGGGATGAAGCTGGACCATTGGCGAGGCCATCAGAGAACAGCGGGGACAATCCTGAGCTATCACAGGAGGACCAGGGCAGGAAAAAGGTAGGAGCTGTCAGCTGTCAGAGAAGTGGGCACGCACGAGGGTACTGCCAGGCCCTCCAGGGGGGCAGTGGTGGCTCAGAGCACCGCCCTGTGCCCTTGGCTCATGGTGCCCTCCACCAGACTGGGAAACGGAGGCCTAGAGAGTTCAAATGGCCTATCCAATGTCACCCAGCCTGGGGTCCAAGAGCGTGTGGGTGGGGGAATGGTTTACATGGCCTCCAGGGACCAGACCCAGGTGGGATCCTGGCAACAGGTGAGATCAGGTACAGGATGGAGAGGGGGCAGGGGACAAGCTTCCCCCCTCTTACAGCCTGTGCACTTGGCAAACTGCCTTGGTCTTCTCTGCCTCTGTGGGCCCAGATAGCCGCTGAACCCTGCTGTCAGACCAGTTACATAAATACTGTGCCCTTCAGGATGTCTTTGTCCATCCCCCACCTCCACTGTTGTCATAAATTGTCATTCTCTTAGCCCTTGGTCAGGATGTGGATGAGTGCCCATTGTCCCCCTGCAGAAGTCCCCACAGAATGTGGATGGCAATGTCCTTTGTCCCTCACTGGCCCCTCCCCAGGCTCCCAAATCTTCATCTTACCTTTCCACAATCACACTTTAACCTGAGTCCCAGCTCAATAACACCGTCTCTGGACAGCCTTCCCAGACTCCCCACAAAGCTGATCACTTTCTTGGGTGGCTTCCAGAGTTGGCCAGCCTTTCCTCAGAGAACTTTAGTGATCCGTTTTAACAACACCTTCACCCCTATTAGACCAGGAGAAGACAGGATTCGGGTTCTATTAGAAGAGTTGGAAGAGGTCCCTAGTACCTGGGCATGGGGCTGGAGCAGGGATGCCAGGTGTGTGTGTTAAGTAGGCAGCACTCAGGGTTCCCACCATGCTGGGGCAGTCTGGGAGAACTGTAGATGGACTCACAGTCACCCTGGCTGTTGTGCTTTGTGCCCTGTGGTCAATTTCAACTTGTAGCCACCCCATGTGACCAGGTATTACTGCCCCATCTGGTGTCCTAGGCTGTCGTTTACAGTGACAGCTCCCCAGGTCTTTGTTCAGCCGAACCACTGAGTGTGTGGGACCGAGTGCTTCACCCTGACACCGCCAGGACCCCACCTGTCTGCAACAGCTATCTTTTATGAAACGTTTACCGAGTGCAGGGTGTTCGGCAAAGTGCTTTGTATTCACTATCTTCCATTCTCTCAACAAGGTGCAGGAGGGCAGTATGGATCACCAGTTATGAATCAGGACATCGAGGCTAAGGGCAAAGGTCAGGAGGGGACTGCAGGTGTAGCTGAGACTTCCCTTCTCCCCACTACCCCCAGCCTCCCCCTCTCTGCCTTCCCAGGTAGCAGTCTAAGACATATGACTGGCCTTCCATCTCACCCTTCCCCATTCAGTTGGCAGTGGTGTACCCCCAGCAGCTGGGGAGGAGGGCTGGACACTGGGAAGCTGACAGCAAAGACACTGAATCTTCTGCTTGGACCCTCCTCCTCACAGACCCTTCCAAGCAAGTGGACAAGTGCCCAGCATTCTGAGTGTCCATGTGGGGTCCTCTAGGGAGGACACAGACAAATCTGTTCAGGAGATGCTCTGGAGTTTGTTTCCACCCACCCACCTGGCTGTGCGCTTTTAAGGGACCTCCTCATATACAGCACTCTGCAGAGCCCTGTGGGGACCTTTAGGAGACAAGAATAACAGAAACAATGGTGAGTTTTCTGGGGTCTCGAAGCCCCAGCCAAGACTCTCTGCAGCTACACACCAGGATGCATTGAGCACTGGGTTGTGCCAAGACCCCTCTGGGTGCAGGGGATATGCCCTGGACAGAGCAGACTTCCCAAAGCCTCCCCAGGCCTGGACTGTGGGCCCCTCACTGCAGCTATGGCTCAGTCATCATCGTTTGCACCTGGGTCTGGAAGTCAGCAGCTGCCATCAGACACCCAGATGAGTCAAACAGGAAGATGCTCCCCAGACCAAAGTGTCTAGACCAGAGCATTCTTGGCCAGTCCTCCCAACCAAGGCCAGCCACTGACACACCTGAGACCCTTGGAGAGAAAGAGACTTGAATTTACTAACTAGTAAATCAGACACCACCACAGCAAGGTGAGGCCAGGGGACTCGCAGATGGAGGGACGTGCCCATGAGGTGGTCATCCAGTTTGCCCAGTATTGCTGCTTCAGGAATCCTATTCTCTTTGCTTAAGAAGGTGATCCCAGCCCAATGGCTGCCAGCTGTGCAGTGTCAGGATGGGTGACGTCAGAATCAATAGGGCCCAGGGCCAGAATGGCCTGGCTTGAACCCGGCCCTCCTGCTGACCAGCTACTGGACTTCTATGAATGCAGGCTCGGGACAGCCTGACTTTGCAGGAACTTCATGGGGATTACAGCGCATCATTGAGCATCCCTCCTCTTTGTTCGGCCAGCCCTTCCAGTACTCCTGATCACAGGTCACGCATGAGGTCTGGTCACCTGTGGACCCTCAGCCTCCCTCTCTGTTCTTGGAGCTGGGGTCAGCTCATGGCAGGGACTTGGCATGCATTCAGAACCATTTCTCCTCAGTGCAATCCTGACTCCCTGGAACCAAGGAGTTTGTCATGTAAGAGAAGCACCAAAAGATGGCACAACCTAACCTAAAAATCAGTCAGGTTTGATGCCAGCTGCTGTCAATACAGCAGGAAATACAGTGCTCAGACTGGAGACTGGGACTGAACAGACTTCACACTGACATGGGGCAGACTCTGAGGCGTACTTCATTGTGGGGAGACTTCATTCAAAGCCCACCCACAGATCAAGAATGCCTTTGCTGAGGACTAATGGCTCCGCTCACGGCACTCCTCAGACTTCACTCCACCTCCCACGAGTAACTTACAGAAATACCGCTGGAAGGAACCTGAGATCTGCTGGCTTGCATGTCTTCGAGATGAAGCAATTGCTGCTCAGAAAGCTGAAGTGACCCATGGGTTGAAAGTGCAGGATTGGGACACACATGTGCTTTCACACACTCACACACATACATCCCACCTCAGGTCTAAGTGTGGATGGAACTGGACCTTCCTGCCCAGTCTCCCACATACCTGAAGATATCTGTACTTCCTTCTGTACCTATCTGCCCTGTAAGTTCATACCCTCTTCTCACTATTTGGCAGATGGAAAATTCAATTCCATTATCATGGGCTCCAGATTTTCTGTGGACACAGAGGCTGGATGAATCGTAGAAACAATTGCCAAGAGATCATCTTTAAACCTTAAACCAAAACTACCCGCTCAAGTCTTCTTAAAACCAAACAATAAACTGAACCGAACCCAATGCTGTCACGTCAGCTCCAACTCCTAGCTGTCCTCCAGGACAGAGTAGAATTGCCCCAGTGGGGTTCCGAGGCCGTGATGCTGGACATCTTGCTTGGTAAAGTGGAGGATCAGCGAAAAAGAGGAAGATTCTCAACAAGATGGATTGACACAGTGGCAGCAAGAATGGGCTCAAACAACAACAATTGTGTGGCTGGGTCCCTGTGAGTCGGGACCCACTGAACAGCACCTGGGAACAACCATCTTTACGGAAGCAGATTGCCACATCTTTCCCCCATGAAGCAGCTGCTGGGTTCAAATCACTGACCTTTTGGTTAACTACTTGAGCCGCCAAGAATGTCTGCCCTAGTGTGGCACTATAGGATAAGCACTGGGCTGCTAAGTACAAGAATGGCAATTCAAACCCACCAGCTGCTCCTCAGAAGCCTTTCTACAACATCACTATGAGTCTGAAACAACTCCAGGGCACTTAACATCATGCGCAGGACAGTTTGAACCATAAGGTCAGCGGTTCAAACCACTCTTCAGAAACCCTATACAGGCTTGCTATGGGTTGGAATCAATTCGACAGCACTTAACACAACAACAAATATTAGATTAAATTCACAACAACAACTCTTTAGATTAGATGGGAACCTTAGAGGGCAGTGAGTTATGTTGATTGAGGAACATGGCTCAGAACAGGAGGGTGAGGATGGTGGCAGAACTCGGAGGAAGTCGTCAATGTCAGAGAGCTGCACATGTAGAAACTGGTGACTTGGTGCATGTTTGCTGTATATCTTCTCAACAACAAAATATATATATATATATATATATATATATATATTTTAACTTCATGTCCTCTCACCAACTCTATTCTTTCCAGACAGAAGCCAGCCTCATTGTCTTCCAACTGCTAACAAAACCAGATGCTATGTTGCGCACGGACACCCCCTAATGGTCAAATGTTGAAGCGCATCCCCCAGAAGTGTACTGTCTAGACCCCTTGGGTTTGAGCAT